TGTGTTCCAGACCCGGGGAGAACCGCACTGCAAGCGGAGTATAAGCAGCCTCGGCAGCAGGCTGGAGCCATGTTCAGCGAAAGTAATTTAATTAGTGTTGATCATGACTCCAGATGATGGTGATTTGATAAGGAATAATTTAGTACTTAACAGCCTTTTACATGCACCAACTCCATGTGGGAAGGTACAGCAAATTGCACGAAATGAATGTGCTGCTTTCTCTTGTGCCCGTGCCAATGATCTGGAAAAACCTCCTATTAACAGACGCTAAGCCTCGAGTCCTGTGATGAAATATACCTAGCCAGCTTCCAGCTCAGCCCTCTCTACTGGGAGTCTCTGCATCTCTCATGCAAAGGTAAATAAAAAATGTGGTATACGTGAAGTCATAGATAAATAAGATCCCCCATTAGGCAGGCAAGCTAAAGTGAGGAACACAAGAAAATCCCTTTATTCTTGTGCAGAAAATTGAAGGTTTAAGTTTTATGTCTCATATGCAGAAATTAAAAACAAACAAACAAACGAACAACAAAAACAACCAAAAAAAAAAAAAAACAGACAAAATGTAAAACAAAACCTGACAAAAACAATAAAACCCAAACCAAACAAATTAAAAATTCCTGGGTATCTTAGATTGGTCACGTTAGACATTTGGCTTGACTAGTAAAGACAAAATTTACTGATTAACAGCCCCACATACATAGAATGAAGTTGTAAAGAGTTGAAGCTCTCCACTCCTAGAGCTGGAGAACCTGCAAGGTAAAGATGCTACAAGTGTTGGCATCTAAATGCATTTGTCAAGTGCTGGATCTATTTGAATGAAATGTACTCTGGTGTTGCCAATCCTCACATTGGAGTCAGCATTTATCCAACTATGATAATCCCCTAGAAATTTTTGTAACATAAAATCATTACACAGCCAGCTTGGTGAAAAAATTACTGGGAATGGACATTCTTCCTGGACAGGCTTCAATAACAAAGTGCCATGTACTGGGTGGCTTAAGAAGCAGATGAGGCTTCTTTTGGTTTTCAGAGGCTACAGAGCCAGGGGAAGATGTGAACAGGGTTCTGAGGAATGATGGAGAAGATTCGCTCCACAATCCTTCCCCCAATCTCTGTCACATTCCTGTCAATCTTTGTCATTTCTTGGTTTGCAGAATCCTAAGCTTGATCTCTGCCTTCAGCTTCATGTGATGATCTCTTGAGTCTGTATCTCTTGTCTACATCCCCGCTTTGTGAGGAGAGGCAATCCATGGAGTGATAGATCATCTTAGAGACTTAATTTAACTGAACCTCTGAACAAAACCACACACTAAACACAGAAGGCCATCTTTCCACTCTCAGTTAGCTTTGTTTTTAGAAATTACGAGGCTTAATTCCATAGCTGTGAGAGCATCTGTGTTTGTGGACCTCTTGGAAGGTATTTCATTCCTTGCTATTTCTGAATGTTCTCTGCCGCAGATGCCACACTTCACCGACTTAGTTTGCTTTTCATGAATAAAACTCTTATGAACATTCCTACTTACATTTTTTGGGGGGAATTTATGCACTCCTGTCTCATATATGCACACACACACACATATATGACAATGTACAGTAGTGAAATTACTGGATCATAAGGTACATTCTTAGCAGGTAGCCACACCCTTTTCTGAGATGCTTATACCAACCAGCCCGTCCTCTTAGCAGCATGAATGAGAGTTCTGATTATTTTCTTTCTTCAGTATCAGTTTTGTCAACTTTTATAGTTAATTTTTCTAATTATTTGGTAATAATTTGTGGTTTTATTGCCAGTTTCCTGATGAGCAAAATTTGATTACATTTTCCCTTGTTTGTTACACCCTCCATCTTGCTGTTTGGGTATTTTCTATTATGAACTGCTTGTTCCCCTTTTATTCATTCATATTAGTCATTTGTATTGCTGTACAACAAACCCTTTTATGTTAAATAAGAATTATTTGTCATCTCTTTCTGTTGCAAGCATCATGGAGCTTATGGTTTCTCCTTCATTCTTTTAATAGTACCTTTAAAGAGACAATTTTAATTTTGGTAAAGTTTAGTTTGCTAATTTTTTCTTTGTGGTTAAGTATATTTTTCAAGCTGTTTAGTAATCTTTTCATACATTTTGTGCAAAAAATGTAGAAATATCACATCTTAGGTCTTCACAAATTTTTATTAAATCTGAGTTCCCAGATCTTTGTTACTTCTTTGAAGGCTAATTGATTTCTTTAAGAAAATGTAAAACCTAGGTTTTAATTCAAAGTGCTAGAAATTGCTACCTATGTTCAAAAAGGTACTAAATAATTTAAAAAGTTCTGCCAAAGGTATCAAAAATATGTCTCAACATACATGTTTGTTATTCTAAGAATTAGTGAAATAGTGCACACACATGTATCATACATGTATGCAGGAGGAAAAAGTTTCCTAAGTGAACAATTTTGTGGCTTTCTTTTCCATGTATCATAATTTTTATCATGGACATTTAGTAATGAAATAAATCTAAAGAGAATATAGTGAACCCTTGAGTGCTCATCAGACTTTTAAAACTACAGGGAAACTTATTAGTTGATTTTATAGTCATAAAATAAGCACATTTATGTGAGAATATACATATATAGATTTCTTGTAGTGTAAATTTTATGACATAACCTATATTAAATTAAGCACAAATGAATGCACATGAGGAGTAACTGTGCTTTAAACATCACTACACACTAAATCATATGAGAAAGAAGAACATCATTTGGTATAGAATTTTTATTGAGGATTTCATGTGATGAAAATTTTTCATGTATCACATTTTATTGTTGCATGAGTTCTCTTTGGTCTTAATAATAAAATCTCAGAGTCAACTATCAAAGGGTGAAAGCTGAAGGATCAGAGAAGCAGAACAGCCAGCCACTAGAGTTCTTACCTCTACCAGTCTCAGACCAAAAGGGAGATCCTGTCACTCCTACTACATCCTCAGACTGAATCCTCAGACTGCCTGAGCTCCTGTCTCATCCTGCATTACATTCCTCTCTCCACCCAGCCATATCATCTGTCTCTACCTGTATAGGGCTGGAATTAAAGACATGTGATCCCAAGTGCTGGGATCACCTTTGTGTGAGCTGTTTCTCTTTTAGACAGATTCAATCTCATGTAACCCAGGGGAGCCTGATTGCTGGGATTAAAGGTATGGCCACCACTGCCTGGCATCTATGGCTACCTAGTGGTATAGCTCTGTATTCTGATCTTCAAGCAAGCTTTATTTGTTATAGTATAAACAAAATATCACCACATTTACCTGTTGTTTCTTTTTTTTTGTCTAAAATTAAAGAGGATATAACTAATATAAAAAGACTATTTGCAGTAAGTACAGTAGCTATGTACAATATGTATAGGCAATAAATATATTATCAACATTGTCTAGTCCATAAGCAATTGGCAAATTCTGAGAAAATACTCTATATCTATCCTAGCTTGATGAGTCTAAAAGGTGGTACCTAATTCTCTTTCTATTCTAACTTGCATTGCCGAAACTATTTTTAATGTCTCTCAAGCTTACTTTTTTACCTCTTTATTGAATTTCTTTTCTGAATCTGATAACAAGGCAAAGTATAACTATAAAAATCTTCAACTTCATCAGACACCTGAGAAGGAAATAATATTGACTGAGTAAAGCAAGCAACTTCCAAATTTGTGAGAAATGACAGAAACAGCTGGCTGCTTGAACAGTCACCCAAAGTTCTCTGTAAGGTTGGGGCATCCCTCTTCAGCCTACAGGCCTAGAATATGCAACAGATTTTTATACAAAGCAAAATTTTTGAGAAACTGTCCGCCTTATCTTAGGAAGGTTTGGCAGTGACTTTGTGTGTGCTTGTACAATTTGGACAGCATACTGTTAGAAGTTGAGGCAAGAACACTTTTCAGCCCAGTGACTACTTTTGCCACAAAGAAAATAAACTCCATGTGGAGTTTTTTTTTTTTTTTTTTTTTTTTGTATTTTTTTTGTTGTTGTTCTGTTTTTTGTTTTTGTTTTTGTTTTGATACCCATCATCTTATCTGACATAGACTGGTGCTGCCAGGAGCAGACATGCCTCATTATCATAAACAAAGAACCTGTGTTATCAAAACATTGTAAATGCCATATTCTGTAGATCCCTGAAGTGTCTGAAGATAACCTGTCTGTCTAAACTATATCTCTTTAGACTTTGAAAACATGCCTAATATGACTACAATTTAATTGTAGTAGGTGACTAATTACTAACCTGCATTTTATCTTTATAGTTTTGGTAAATAGTCAGGTAGTTATGTTTCTGTTTTAAAAATATCCATTGACCTTAGCCAGCCTTTGGTGGTGTGCACGCTTTTAATCCCAACACTCGGGAGGCAGAAGCAGGTGGATCTCTGTGAGTTTGATGCCAGCCTGGTCTACTGATCTAGTTCTAGGACAGGCTCCAAAGCAATACAGAGAAACCCTGTCTCAAACAAATAAAACATTAGCCTTAAAGATGTTGGTTTTCCTCTTCCCATACTATTCTGGCTTTCCTTTAGACCTATACCTGGATATTCTTTGTTATGCTCCATGAAATCATTCCTATTGAAGCATTACTACTGAACAACACCCAGAGCTGTACTCCAGCCTAATAGTTCTCTCTCTCTCTCTCTCTCTCTCTCTCTCTCTGTTTTGTTTTGTCACTGGAAATCTTTATGACATGTTTCCAAAACTTCTTTTCTGAAAACCAAGCTTCTGGAATTGTTAATATCAGTAAAGCCAATTACTACCTATTTGATTTACTTAAAGCAAAGAAAAAAGTCAAATATGCATTTTGTTGTTGTTGTTGTTGCACAGTACAAGCAGAAAACGAGGGCTGCAGAGCACTGATTTCCATAATCTTTTCAGCCTCATGGATTATCACATGCTTACAAGCATAAGTTACTGTGAAATGTTAATGATACTTTAATAAGAGAGGTAAAATAATTAAATTGAATCTTTATGGATAATTTTGTTCTGTTTCTAGTGGCTTTTCATGGCCTACCACTGAAAATCAAGAAAGAACCCCAGAGCCCATGTTCAGAACTCGGGTCTGCTTGCAGCCAAGAGCAGCCCTTTAAGTTCAGCTATGGAGAAAAGTGCCTGTACAGTGTCAGGTAAGCTTCTTGGTGCACACAAGGAGAGCAGTGCCACTTCCTAAAACTGAACATGTAGAATGATATGACAATCTGAAATCAGGTTTTTTTGGGGTTACTTCTTCATTATATAATAAGCTAGTTAGGTAATATGTTCAGCAGAACTCCAAAGATCCATTTGCCATATAATCACACACTTCACTTTTAGCATCATTTTAAAGTAATAATTCTCATCTCAGTCATCAATTGTTTTTCTATTGTACTGGTGTATCTTGGGTTTGAAAGGAGGGTCTTATTTGGCACAGGCAGCTTTTGAAGTTCTCATGAGAATGGAGGCATTATTTACTTTAGGTATATAGTTTGTCAGGAAAAAAAAAACATTTGGCAAGTAAAAGCAGTACATTAGTTATCTGATAGGCTTTACAGATGATCTATAAGATGCATTCATGGACAATTGCAATAAAACTAGAATTTTATAAGGCCTAGCCAAGGCTATTATCTATTAAAAAGCCAGTTGTTCTTGAGATGATAATAAAGGGTGGTGCATTCTGAGTATGTTATTCATTTGCTAGAAAATTTGATAACACATGTGTTCATTAAAAACCCTTTGTAGTGAATTGCATGCTTTTACTCTTCATCTTGGCCTCTAATTGCATATAAAAAAATTGGCTCTAGCTATTGACTATTAGTCTTGATTATAGTAGAAACTTAGTTCTTAAAGGGAGTTGGTTTGAGAACATATGAAAAAAATATTTCAAAGATATTCACTGTTTTATAAGGTGTATTAGTTCAAGCTCATAATGCAATGGGATCCTGAGAAATCTTGTGTTGTTGCAAATGCATCCATGAGATATAAGACTAAACAAAGTTGTGCCATCTCATGGCAAGTGACCAATGTTGAGATCTTTTGTTCCTGTTCTTAAAATTTATTGCTTTATAACTAACTAACTTACTAAGAGGCTCACTAAAGCCTGATATTATGGGGCAGCTCAGTTGAAACTACAAAGTGTTATAAAACAGATCTTTTATAAAAGTGAGCTATGAGAGCATATTGAGTTCACATAAGATATTAATACATGTTTGAAGATTTATTTTTGCTGTTTGCATTTTCTCCTTAACACATATATTCACCTCACTGTTATTTTAACAGTAGAGAATTCCCAGTCATTGACAGCTTAGATGTAGCATTCTCTTTGCAATTTAGCAATGATCATTCTGGTGACCATAAAAACATTGTTTGATACAACATGTCTCTGATCTATAAATTAACAGTTGAGGAATTAGCCAACAATTTGGAGGATTTTTCTGTAAACCAGCATCTCTCTCAGCATATAAGGTCTATACAATACATTCTAGTTCTTTCATCTCTCTTTAAATATAACACCTTATGGGGGAAGAAAGTAATATCTTAGCATAATTAGCCATTTGTTTCTTTTTTATGGGAAAGACTCAACCAAGCCACATTATGAAATAGTATGCTTTTGTTCAGAAATATCAATAAAGATTATACATATAACTAACCACTGGAGCATTTCATACATATGTATAATGTGTTTTGATTAAATCTATTCCCCTATTCCCTTCCAATTCCTCTCTTTTCTCCTCCACCAGTTACCTTCACAGTGTTCTTTATTTGAGAATAGATTGTATTAAAGCTGGAGTAGATGTAACACATGCCCTTACACTTCTGGAAAGCATGTTTAAACTTGGATATAATTCTGTTGTAGTAATAGAGAAATTAAGTTATTACACAGTAATATGAATATAAGTATTCCTTTTAAAATATATATTACATACATGTATAACTCAGTCTATAGATCTATAGACCCAATTGACTCACAAAGACCTGCCTGCCTCTGCTGTGTTTAAAGCATGCAACACCTCACCCAGCTCACATTAATATTTTTTATTTGAAGAGTTAAATCTAGATACTTTACACAGAGATATCCTTTTTTTGTGGTAGTTCAAAAAAGATAATCTGATTTTTCTCTATATTGGATATATTCGTTCAATGATCTTTCAGTAAGCCACACATTGGAGAGCAGTTTAAATTCATAAACAAACAGCTTACTTTTTTTTTTGTTTTGTTTTGTAATTGAGAGTGGAAGCTAGTCTAAGATAATAGGATTTTATTCTTAATAATATATTTTGTACTCATGGTCAAAGAAAGTTTGAATATATCTGAGACATTTTAATTTACTCCATTAATCTTTATAATTTTATGGGAGGAATTCAAGGCCAAACATCATTTATTTAATATAACACATCTACAAAGGCAACAACACTGCCTTAAAATTCTACCACAAATAAAGGCAAATCCAATATGTTTTTTCTTAGTAAGCTAATATTATGTCTTGTTTTAAAATGTAATATGGAGGGAGAATTGTGATGAGGTATGTAATGATTTGGGAAGTATCTGTTCAGCTTACTGATAGTGTATGCTTGTTGAGAATGGATGGAGGTGGTAGGGGTCAGTCTCAGGGGTCTTCCTTAACTAAGTTGTCCGTGTACTAAAAATTTATGTTCCAATTATTCATGTTGTTATGTGATATCATATTCTGTTTTCTGTTTTGGTCATGGGGACTTTGAAGTTTATAAGTTCTAGAATGAAAAAACAAAACCCAGAGATTTTAGCTTCCTTATCACTTATGCCTAAGCTGTGTTTTCTTTCGGAGGATGGTAATCTTTAAAAATGACCTCAATGCAACCTGTCCTCTCTTTTGTTCTCTGGGCAGTGCCTATGATCAGAAGCCACATGTGGGAATGAGGCCCTCCAACCCCCCAACGCCATCCAGTACTCCAGTGTCCCCACTACATCATGCATCTCCGAACACAACACATACTCCGAAACCTGACCGGGCCTTCCCAGCTCACCTCCCTCCTTCTCAGTCCATACCAGACAGCACCTACCCCATGGACCACAGGTAAGCCGCTGATGCTATTTCAGACAAAACACAAAAAAAACCTCCACCAGTGGCAGCTTTTGTGGAAGGAATTAGCCTTGGTGGTTGTGGAGATCTATAGTGTTTTCAGGTAAGCATATTAATCTTGCAAATCTGCACCAACAGTTCTAGCAAAGCTTGCCTTGATTATCCACAGTGATTTGTGGAGAAGGTCATTGCAAACATTTCTTTTATAAACTTTTTAAATTGGCTGCTAAAATGGAAAATCAGTCTGTAGACTGACATTTGAACACTTCTTCACTTCTTAAATGGCTTCCCTTAAACTGTACATCAGATCTTGCTCCATGAGCGAATGTGGGTACTTGCTCCACAAAGTTAGACTCATTTTAGTAGGTGGCTTATGATATTAGATTCTTTACCTTACATTGGATGATTTGGTTCTACACAGTCTTACAGAGTACAACTTATATGATTAATCTATTTGCTTTCCTTTTCAATTGACTATTTAATGTCAGTAGACCTGTATGACTGTGGACCAAGAGTGTGCTTCAAAGAGACAGAGGCCAAATGAGAGTTACTTAGAAATGAGCCAGGAAAGAATAGGAGTGTGGAACTAGTGAGAGGGCTGTGGTAGAAAACTGTTCATTAGTAGAGATGAAGAGATCCAAGTATCAACACAATGCTGGGGAAAGTAGTGCCATAATATATGAGTTGGAACACGGGGTACTTCTACCCACCTGAGGGCTTCCCTCCTACTTTTCCCCCATAATCAATGCACTCCTGGAAAATCTTTGACAGTAGTTTCCATGGGAGATAAAACACCTTATCTGAAGTGTGCCCTGAGTTTATAAAAAAATATGACCTCACATATGACTTCATATGTGAGAGCGCTGAATACTAACTGAAAAGGATTGTGCATCACGCTCCACTATGTAGTGTCTGTAGTCTGCATTAGGTTCCAATTGCACAAGTAGGAATGAAATCATTAGGGAACTCAGAGCTTAAAATTTCTATTACTTTTCTGTCTCCAATCTGCCTTTTAATTGAAAAGCTGTATAATTAGATTCTTACTATAGGATTACATTAACAGTAGGACCCCCTCCCCCAAATGCCAAACGTTTATCCATGAACTATAGCCATAACTGGCTGAGGTACATCACTGTTAAAATAGCTGATTGAAAGGACTCCTAGACATCAGAAGAAGCAGGTGTGCCACAGGCAAAACTGGATGTATATATTAATGAGCATTATCTCTGTCACAAATACAGTCACTTCTTACTTTAAAAGAATAAAATGAAATCATATTTTCCCATGTGAAATCTGGTCATGTATTCTACCTTTGTTCCTGTCCCCCGGGGACTCCCCTGCTTTAGTTACTAAATGCTGCCTATTGTCTTTCCCTTCTCATCCCCAGACTTGAGATGTATTGAGAGTGAAAGGCTGCAAGCATCTGTGTAAACAGTTTTGTAAACACAGATGAAAGAATGCCTATTGCAGGGTGGGCCATTAAACAGAAGCAGCACATTGTGCAGGGCCAAAAAAAAAAAAAAAAAAAAAAAAAAAAAAAAACCTGACTGGGGCAATGAAACACTATCAAGGTTGCTTTTGTCCACTGCTGTGAAGATTTGTCATCACCAAGCCCTTCCCCATTCAAATGAGCACTAGATTATGGGTTATGTCTTCTACCCCCTGTGCAGGCTGGTTATTTCTAAGGCAAGGTGACTGCTGTGTAAGTAGTGTGGTTGTTTTTAGATGAACAAACTGGAGATGCTTTAGCCAAATCCATTTTGGTATCTCAACTTGAAGTCAAGTACTTGAGACTGAGGACAGCAGGCCCGGAACTACAAGAGGGAAGCTCGGGGTCTTTTCCCATAGGCTTCCTACTGAGTTTTGAGGACTGCACCAGCTGGCCAATCCCAGGAAAATCTCTGATACCTTATGTTTCTGATGAGGATTTCTTAGAGGGCTCTGGCCAACAAATGGCAGTCCCTTGGTTATAAATGGCAAAATTGCTCTGGGAACAGATCCCTTCCCCAGATAGCCACCTCCAGGCGGCACCCCACTTCACTCTGGGAACGGTTTATGGCCAGCTGGCCTGTACCTCACTTCCTTTCATCAGCCTCACTGCATACCTCAAGCCAGCCCTTTGGCACGTTTTCTTGAACCCACTGTGCAAGAGACCTGTCTATTTTCCTCAGCAGTGTCCCCAGTGCACACCCAGATTCTCTTTACCCACCAGCGTGTTAGCATTCTGCCCTCAGCCACCAAAAGTTTTCCTCCATCTCTTTCTCTTTCCCACTGGTCAGTTGCTAGCCAGAATGATACCCAGACCATACATCTTCCTGCAAAGTGTGTCACCAACACATACATGGCCTCCAGCTAGAACAAGTACAAATCAGGTTGACTTGTAAAAGCAAATGGCTTCCTTCCTTACAAAGCTTTTAGTGCAGGCATTATTAGCTTCCTTTTAAGGGTTCACAAGTGAGCCAGCTTCTTATTTTATCATCAAGTTTCAATTTTCTGATTCACTCCTTGACAGTTCTTAATGATAATTTCTGTTTCTTTTTTTGGCTAATGAAATAAGCAAGAGAAGGGAAATGAATGCAGTGCCAGCCAGCCTAGCTGTTTCACAATATCCGAGTTTCTAAGTTTATTTTGTGCAGGTGTAAGTGGAATTTCCATGCTTTTCATGGCAGCTGGTATACCTAGAGTTAAGCCCTGCTTCAAAATGCTAGAGCAATTGCTTTGCCATCCTTTGGCTTTTACCTTATTTTCATTTAACATTACTAAAATTAAATGCTAACTTTCAAAATTAAAGCCTCAGGAATGCTTTTAGTGTGGGGGTTAATAGGCTAATATTTGCTTATGGATATGTTTTAGAGGTTATTTTTTTTAAGCACTCCTGGGACATTTTTAGAGTACTTTTAAATCTTTAATTAGTCCACATCTTTGTGGTGGGTCAATGATGATATCACGGATGAGATACACAGACCAGAACAATTATGTGATTAGCCAATCGTTACCAAGAACGGAGGAGCATGGGCCTTACTTCTAGACTAGGCCTTAGAGCTTCCTCATGTCCTCATAGCCTGGCTAATCCCAGATCTGTGCAGCCTCTGTGTGTTACTATCTTCATCTTTCAAGGCCAGCTGTGTACATATGTTTAGTGTTTTTATCAACTCAACAGTTTGGAGTTCGTGGACAGCATAGAGATAATCTTTAAAAAATAAACATAAGCTCCTATAATGCCAAAATACATTTGTTACAAGAACGCATTGTTAATTTGGACACTGCTGAAAAATTTAAAGGCCTGCTTATTTGAGAAGAGGTTCGGATCACTCATGCTTCCCACATTACTGATGGCTGTGGAAGGAAAGGCTAAGAAGCCTTTTGTCTGGCTGCTGGTTACTTTGGTGACAGAACCTAAAGAGAAAGAGTGCCATTTGAGATCAGATTCCATTGTTCCTGCTTTTTCTTATGTGTAATTCTTTGAGAACCCTTTCTTCCAGAAGTTATGTAGATGATCCAATTAGCTTAAAATTGGTCATTTTATCCCTTAGGGTTCATATTTATTCCAAACAGGTCATTGTTCTACAGCTACTGGCAGTATACCTTTAATTGCATGATCTGCTGAAGTGTTTGCAATGGATGGATTAAAAGGGGAGCACACGTCATTGTATGATTTCAAAAGCAGAGCACTACTGTTCTAAGGAAGAGAAATAAATCTAAGGCTCATTAAGTCTATTCACTTTGGGCGTTTGGTATTAAACTACTCACTAACAATTAGGCATTATGTCAGTCCTTTAAAGACAATGTTGTGTTACCATCTCATCTGAAACACTCTCTCTTCTCCAGATTTCGTCGCCAGCTTTCTGAACCCTGTAATTCCTTTCCTCCTTTGCCGACATTGCCAAGGGAAGGGCGTCCTATGTACCAACGGCAGATGTCTGAGCCAAACATCCCCTTCCCACCACAAGGCTTTAAGCAGGAGTACCATGACCCAGTCTATGAACATAACACCATGGTTGGAGGTGCAGCCAGTCAAAGCTTCCCCCCTCCTCTGATGATCAAACAGGAACCCAGAGACTTTGCATATGATTCAGGTAGGCCTATCCTTGGATATAATTAAATGTAAATCATCTTTTCTCCTCCCTTGCCGATTTGATTAGTGTTGTCAGACTGGGTGGCATCTGACCATTGATTTGTAAGTGGCATCTTCCTGATTTTATCCCATATGGTTATCAAATGACTTTGCTGTGAGATGGTGATCAAAATAGTTTCTCAAAAGAAAGAACAATGTATAAAATTACATATATTCACCTAGAGCAGCAAAATGTAATTTCTTTCTTGATTCTGTGTTTTACTTTATTATTTTACTATGATAATGTTATTTAGAAATAATTCTTGCAAAGTAATAGTATTTTTATGATAAGCATTTACACTTGGTAACTTAAAAATGTTCCTGTGGCACTAAAGTAAGAATTCTTATATATTACAAAGGGAATAGGGAAAACAAACAAACACAAGCATAAGCTTCTTTCATAGGATTTAACTTTGTCTCAGAGAGCAGGAAAATTCTACTGCATACCATCTGACAGAGGAAAGGGGTCTTGCAGAAGGTAAAGGAAGCTTAAAAATGGTTTCAAATGTTATTTTCAAGTTTGGATAACACTTAGTTTTGAAACATAAATCTTACCTAACTCATCTCTATTAAGTTGTTCCTGCTATAAATCTGTGAAATTAGGACATACACTTTTTACACTTCTAGGTATTTTGAAAAAAAATGTGTGAAGTAAAGGGTAATTTTTATAAGGAGGGCACCACATACCTGTAAATTTTTATTGCAAACATTATGGTAGCTATTAGACGTGGAGATACTTGAGTGCATTGCAATTTCCTTCCATGTGGATGTGAGTGTATGAAAGAACTATTGCACCGTGCTAATAAGTGCTGAGTCCTGCTTGAGGGGGCAGAAAGCTGCTTCCAGGTTTCAATTTGAATAAAACAAGCTGCTGTATTATGAATGTCCCTTAGAATTCAACACAATATGGTCCTGTGACTTAAAGGCTCTCCCTTATCCTCTAGCCTCAAAGGACAGGAATGTAAAGGACCGAGGGCATTGGCTACTCTACAGCATGTATCGCCATTCTGAAAACACAGTAATTTCCCAATAACACTGAGTTTCCTGCCCAGCTGACCCTCCTAGGGCCTGTGTAGATTTACCCCAGGCTTGGTTTCTTGATACCCCACTTCTTTGTGACCCTACCTAGGTCCACAGGGTCTTCCAGGGGGCAGAGCCAGAAGTGCCTTTAAGTTTGTATGTCAGGCCTTGCTAGGTCTGGGGATGCATTGGGTTGAGGGATAGGAAGGTGGTTGGGCAAGTCTCTGCAGAAAGGTTGGTTCCATCCTATTCCAGGGCTACCTTTAAGAGGTTTTCTTAAAAGCTAAATTAGATCTGGACTTTTAGGTTGTACTCAATGTATGTTTTTAAAGAAGAGAAAGGACGTATTGATATCTATTTTGTAGATGATTTACAATTTAGAAAAATAAGCCTGCTTGTTCAGTGAGGGTAGGCATCTTGGGAACTTGAAATTCTTCCTGGTGATTTAAGTTTTTTAGAGACTTTCCATATCTACCATTGGATCTCCATAATTAAATACCTTGCAAGCCAACAGACTTTACTTTAGGTAGGAAACATTTCTTCCTGAGAATTTCAAATTCTGTTAGCTGCTATTATGCTTATCTCTAACTGTATTTGCATTTGCTGCAATAGAGTTGAATTCATCAATGACTTTAAAAAAGTACAGATGGAAATTACTTAAATGAGTTCAAACAGTCAATCACTAAGACTTGTGTAACATGTTCAGAATTTTGTTTTTGTTATGTTTTTAAATGTATAGTGCTGAAAAAGAGTAACATTAAACATTTTTGTGATTCTGTGATTCTGTGCCCATGTGTCTCCTCATGTATATATTGCAAACACACATATGTATACTGTGGAATTGAGTGTTTATACAATGTGAACCAAGCAGGAAGAGATTTAAGGATTCTAATGAGATAAAACTTTTAGGAGCAGCACTGTAAGAAATGGCCTGCATTGCCTATGGGTCAAATATAGTGTGGGTAGTAGAGACTACATTGTATGTTCCTCAGAAGTGTTTGCTCCTCATGAGTTCCAACTAACTATCCAGCATCCCACCTTAAGTGTGAGCTCTCTAAGTGCACCATGTATCTTGCAACTGGCTTATAAAATACTTCTTACCTTTTGAGAAGCTAATAATTTTATGCTCCAATTATATTTGAAATTGACACAGTTACACAGCATATCTTAATTCTAATTTCGGTTTTGCCTGTTGGATTCAGCTTTATATGAATAGTTAAAAGGTAAAGATTGAGCTTTGATATGATCTAAAAAAAAGCATGTCAGGGTATGACTTAGAAGAAAATCATTCATCTGTTGGTACCAAAATGCATTTTGCTGCTATAAAGTTTGATCCTTTCTATATGTCTTATATTGCAACCAACAAGGATGATCTCTGGATATTTTGTTTGTTGTCATTAGCTCATTCATCTTTCCTAAAAGCACATTAAACAACCTTTTAGGAACTCTAATGTATTTATCATTGAATCACCACTCTGTCTTTTTCTTATTGGTTTCGAACCAGTATCACATTAGGAAATACTTTATATGTGATTTTAAAACAATGCCAAAAATGTATTTTTCTAAGTAAGTAATCTAGAATCTATGGTATAAAGTTATCACTTCAGAGGGATTCTAGGATACTTTATTAGTTAATTCAATATACTATAAATGTTGTGACAATAAAAGATGTCTTGAAAGAGAAAAGACAGCATGATTGTGCTCTAATAAAACCTGACATTAATTATGACATGGGAAATGGAAGGTCTATTAGTTATAATTATAATTACAGGAATGCAATTTCAACTGCCGAATATTTAAGATAAAAAATTCAAAATATTATGTTATTAGAGTAGAAATCTTTATTCAAGGGATGAGATGGGAGAAAACCTTGGATCAGAAAACAGAGAAGAAAAAAGAACTGTATATTCAAGGAGCCAGCTACATATTGTAGCAGTTACATCATGGCACTATTTTGGAAAGTTAATGCAGGATGTCTTCTCAGTTGATTTGTTCCTCTCCACTAGCCAGGTAGCTCTGTGTAAAGCACCACACAGGATTTTGTTTATTATTTAGTTGCCTTCTAAAATTTGATATAACTATGTGGCCAAGTGACCACATAGTTAGGATGTATAGAGTGCCTTGTTCAGCATGTATGAAACAGTTACTTTAGTGAATATCCCACTTGTATGAGGCACTTTGCCTGTGTTTGTCACTATCTATGCCACTGTAGAATGCCAATGATGCATGTGTTTTCTTTGTAGTTCTTAGCTTATTGCTCAGTTCATTGTCTTTCATTGTATTTGTTCAGAGTAAAGGGGAGTGTGGTACAGAATTTTGCATGTACTCTTATCATTTACCATAATCTGGATTAAGAAGGTCTGTTTGGTGGAAGGCTCTTTATGATATCCAGGGGCTAGAACAGCATCAACTGCATTCAGACTTTTGCCAATATGCTTCCCTAATTGAGGAAAGAACATATTTCACATGGGCCAGTGATCAAACTTTCCACTAATTTTACGTGTTCACTGCTTTGGGGGAGCAAATTATCAGACCTCAAAGCCTGTAAAAGATGAATTTTCCTCTCTCTTTCTTACTTTTTGTTTTCTAATATGATTATCTCAAACTTCCCTTTTCCTTTGGAGACAGGGCCTCACTGTGTAGGTCTGCATCATTTGGAATTCAATTTGTGAACCTAACAGTGAATTCACAGATACCTGTCTCAGGAACGCTGGAATTAAAGTCATGTACCACCTTGTGTGGACCCTGATTTTTTAAAAATTGGTTTATCAGCAGCTGCAGTGATGGCTCAGAAGTTCACAGCACTCACTGCTCTTGCTGAGGACCTGGATTTGTTCCCAGCACCTACATGGTAATTCACAATTGCATATCACTTCAGTTCTAGGGACCCAAAGTTGTTTTCGGACCTCTGTTGACACCAGATGCACATGTGGTAAACATACATATATGCAGGAAAACCCTCATACTCATACAATAAAAACAAATAGATCTTGAAGAGAAATAATTGAGTGTATCACAGAGGTGTCCCTTTACAAAGTTCTGGCAAAAGCTCAGTAATAATTAGAAAAAAGAGAAGCAAATTAATAGCCCACTAGTTTCAAGTCCTTTTTAGGAAATTTGATTTTGTCTAAGTTCTCTCACCGGACTTCACACTTTTATTCAAATATCCTGATATGTGATACATACAGTTAAACCAGAATAGAAAACTTGAAACTTCTGTCAGCTATGTTCCCGTTACACGAGCAAGCTTGTGAGGTATTGCAGTGTCCAAAACAGATGTAAGGAAGCTCTTAGGAGAATAGCATGTCCCTCTTTTCATTCTTCATCGCAGACCATTTTTTCATTCCATCCTTTTTTTTTTTTTTTTTTTTTTTTTGCCTTGGCAACCTCTAATATTCCACATATATTTCTTTTATCACCTTAGAAAAATATAAAGACTTGGTTTTCTGTCATTAGCTAGTAAAAATATGATGTGTAGGCAAAGAAATGGGAAAATAAATACTTCCAAATTATTTACTTCAGGTTAAATATGTCAAAACTAGAATCTGTTTTAACTTTCTACTGTCAGAGCTGACGTATATATCTGGGATTTCTGTGAGCTTCAGTTGCCATTTTAATAAAGAGCTCTGAGTCCTCTGCAGTTTGAGCAAAGGAGCTGGCTGGGGGATTTTTATGTCATGAGTTCTACTTCATGGTTTGCTGGTGAGTAGTCATCTTAAACACCTCAGTCAGTGGTTCTCAATGTCGCTGATGCTGCCACTTTTTAATCCAGTCCCTCATGGTGTGCTGACTCCCACCATAGCATTATTTTTTGTTGCTTCTTCAGAGCATGAGAGTTTCTTACTGGTATGAATTGTAATGTAGACATTTGTGTTTCCTGATGATTTGAGTTTGTTCAACTCCCAGAGAGGTCAGGGCCCACAGGTAGAGAACTGCTGATTT